GTCGAACTCTGGTGAGAGTATTTGTTCATTTTCATCGGCTGGTGGTGCCTGATCATGATCTTGGAAATCAAAAGAGCTCATCACGCGCATTATGCCGTAGGGGTAGGCTAAGGCAAAAGCGTTGGCCATTTTGTATTGTTTGGCATTTTTATATGTGAGCACATTGTTACCTTCGCGCTGATTATCGTGATTATCGACAAAGACGAAAGCGTGCTCAGAGGGTAAGAAGCTCCACTCAGGACCCCAATTACGCAGCCACTTAAKTTGATTATAACCACGAAACGCACCACCTATTTCCTCCGAGAAACGAAACTCTGTCACAGCGCCCAGCGGACTATACTCGTATTTGCTGATCTGTTCGAAACCATAATCGACGACTTCTTGATAGACGAAAGGACGCGTATTGCGCGCGAAACCATGCGCGATGTTCAGATCATGCATGCTCTCATAAATTAGCTGTAAAGAAATTTAAAATTAGAATCATGTGAAGTCATAGTTTTGGTATGACACTACCTTCAAATCTTTCGCCGGCACATGCTTGGCAGCATCTACACGGAACCCCGCCGCACCTAACTCAATGAGGTGATTCAGAAACCCTAGCAGTTTTGCACGTACACGGTCACTAGTCTGATCCAAATCTTTCAGGCACACCAACTCACAATTTTGCACTTGAAAACGGTCATTCCAATCCTGTATATCACAGGTCGAATGAAAATCCTGCTCTGTATAAGGCACGGCGGGAAAGTACTTCGCATTTGGATAGGCAATCGAGCCGCCCGTACCAGAGACGACACCATCATACGAGGCAGCCATATGATTGAGCAGCACATCGACGTAAATACGCACGCCAACAGCGTTACATCTGCGCACCATATCGGCGAACTCGGTCTCATTGCCGGAACGTGTAATCAGTTTGTACGAGACCGGCTGATAACGCTCCCACCACGGCCGTCCAGCGACCACTACATTCTCAGCGACGGGTGAGACCTGTTTAAGTTGATTGGTGAATTCAATAAATCAATGCTCGTTTAAGTTGTTATTATCAGTTTGCGTTCACCTGTACGCCGGCATAACCGCGCGGCGCTAAAAAGCGCTCACACTCTCTGGCTATATCCGTCCACTTCCATTCGAAGAGATGTACAATGGTATTTCGCTCAGCCCACCAGTGTGGCTCGTGTTGCGCCGCGACTACGGCGATAAGTGTCAGCAAGCCCAGACCGACATAACCCAAAATATTAGTTTTAAGCATTTAAAGCGCATTTGTGCTGACCGTTATACAGCGCGTGTACACACTAATCGGACTTTCCGAGCAACTCGGTGTTTTTATACGGGTTTGCGCGTGTCTAACACTTATCATGTGGTTATCTACTGATAACTATTTGCAAGTAATTGCAAGATACTCTCGTTGCTTTGTATAATGCTACAAAAACAATGTCAAGGGATTGTGTGTTCTGAGGACCAAGCGTGACTATAATCGGGTCCTCTCCTAAAGAATTTATGTTCTATCAGAACCTTTTGTTTTACTACTATTTACAATACAGGAGAGACAATCAGTGATTTTTGAAAAGTTTGAACCGCTTCGTAGCGCTAATTATAGAATTTGGGGGTAAATCATTATTTATCATGACTAATAAATTTTATTAGCCAAATGCTTGATTAAAATTTATTGAACAATTGATTTCATTGTGACTTGGCGAAATCTATACACCGTGCAACAAAATAAGAACTTCAAATTCCACAGTTAATGCAGCAAGACTTAAATGCATTAAGAATATAATAGAATAAAACAACTAGATTAGCAAAGAGTAACCTGAAGAGATTCTACACCTGCAATTTCATGCAGAAATAAGAAAAAACGTTAACCTTCGTTATCCTTCACAGGTGCATTTCTGTTAGTAACGATGTGTTCAGTTTGTATGGAAGCTATATGCTATAGTAATCCGTTCTGAACAATTTTTTTTTTGAAGATTATATTGTTATCTTAAGCAGTAGTCCAAATTTCGTGAAGATAACACGTTCAATTTGTATAGCAGCTATATGATATATTGGTCCGATATCGGCAGATCCGACAAATGAGCAGCTTTTCGAAGAGAAAATCACGTTTGCAAAATTTCAAAACGATATCTTATAAACTGAGGGACTAGTTCGTATATATACAGACAGACAGACAGACGGACATGGCTAAATCGACTCAGCTCGACACACTGATCATTTATATATATACTTTATAGGGTCTCCGAACCTTCCTTCTGGGTGTTAAAACTTCGTGATAAACTTAATATACCCTGTTCAGGGTATAAAAATAACGGTTTGGTATGGTTTGTGGTGCGGTAGAATAAACAGTTCATATTTCATCAAATATGATGCCAGTGAGAAGGTAATGGCGATCGTTATGAGGCCATGTTAAACAACTATTTGATACCTGAAATTGGAGCTCGTGATCTCTGGGACATTTTGTTTCAACAATATGGCGACACTTCCCACACATCGCTGCAATGAATGGATTTATAGACGGWACACTTCGGTGAGCAGATGATTTCGATTGGCCCCCAAGATCGTGTGATACACTGTTAGTTCGTTGTAAAGTCTATGTTCGATTCATTGAAACAGAACATCACGCGTGTCATTCGCCAGTTACCATTCGAAATGATTGGTTGAGTCACCGAAAATTGGACTCAACGGATGGAATATCTGAGACGTAGCAGTGGATAACAAAGTTGCGCCATATTTTAAGCCATCTTTTTTGCCGCTATTCTACCAATAGAAGCTCAAACCAGCAGAACTATTAAGATTTCTTCTTGTCCGAAAATATGTCGTATTCCCACTTMTTTTTTCAGTGCATATATTTTGGAGTAAACGCCAACCTCTCTTCTTTTTGTATCTTCGATAAGCTTGGTCGCCCACGCACTTACTGAGTTTTCACATTTATAAAGGCGTCACTAAGGCAAGACGGGATCAACGAGTGCACCGTTAAGACTACAGCAAACAGCAAACTTATAGTGTCGTGGCATACACTTTTTAGCTATACTTTACTTTTATTATGAAAACTTTTAAACATTTTAATTGCGTTTAATCAAATGTCTATGGTTGTATATATTTTTTTTTATATTAAAATAAAGAAATTTTAGAAATTATATAAATTTTAAAGGATTTTACCACAAGAACCCTGGATATATTTGAAATAATTTTTTTAGACCAAAATTGTTCAACCGATTACTGAATTCAAGTGAAATGAAAGTTCAAACACAATTTTTTATAAGATAATTGATCCATGGTCACTGTTCGGTTCCGGGTCAAGATTAACTATGATTATACTTATATTCGGTTAAATTAGTTCCAAACTTTTTAGAGAAAATGAAATTTGAGTGGTATAAGGTCGGTTCGATATCATTGTAAATGATCTTCCACTAATCAGTTTTCAGTTGAAGGAGAATACTCGAATAATTACCAAAATCTGTAAGCCAAAGAAATACAAATAAAACGTCCTGAATAAGAATCTCCGGCGCTCTCGTTACGTCGTTGCTCTCGCACTCTCTACTCGCACATTGCTCTACGCACAGCTATCCGCTAAGACAATGGACTATTTTTCYCTCAGAAACAAGTAATTTTCTGTGATGTGTTTCCCATCGATAACCAAACATTTCAAGTTCTCCTGGGCCATTAATCACATTTATTTAGAGTATTGAGATAAGGTCGTAAAGTTACTGAAAAAGGTAATAATAGACTATAAATAATGAGTACGAGATTATGCGAGATAAGTCCATAAGACTTAGAAACAGGCACAAAAGTGTAACATCGGTTAAAAATCAGTTATGGGATTATTTAAAATATGCAACACTTAAGTGTATAGATCTAATGAAAAAAATCTCCAATAATCAATAAACGGTATGAGTKTGTTAAAACTAAATAAATAAAGCAAATGGGTCTGACATTCTACATATTATGACTAGTTTAATTATGAATTACTTGCATTTTCGCTTCTCTCTCACAAAAACGATAGTTGAATTGATTGTTTGATTGATTTCTCAAGCAAACCTCGACGCTCCTTATCATTAGGCTGCATTCAGATGAGAACTTGTTGTCGCTTATTATCAACGATTTCGTTCAGAATTATATTGCGATACGAAAGAAATTGCAGAAAATTGTACGACTCACTTCTGTCACATGAGCGACACCTTGGCCGAAAACTTGAGTCAAATAATTTTGTGCAGTTTCACTCAGTTTCATTCATATCACATTCTCATTCTTGTGCACTTCATGAATGCGACKCATAAACATATTTTTATTAAGCTTTTCTAAAACTGAGCATAAGCGGCATCGTCTCTTCGTCTTTCCTCATCGTTTACTCGGCTACAAGAACCGTTTACAGAGAGTTCTCTATCAATTTAAGATTAAGTTTGTTTATAGCTTAATAAACTTCGACTACTATCATAAAAAATGTAAATCCCTTTTAGTTTGACGATTTATGTAAATGCCATAATTTATAATGAAATATATTTCAGTTACTTATTTTGTTATCTTATTGTACGAGTACAATTTTTAACCGGCACTTGTCGAAATGACTGCACAGTTTTATTAGGGGAAGGCCATTGATATACATTTTAATATTTAACAATTACTCATTGGTRAACTCTTGTCGAAACGAATAAACGATTTCCGAAGTGCAATACAAATTCGTATTCGTAATATTTATGAGACATTATATTGATTCAAATAAGATAATAGTAGAAAAATATAAGGAGCTAACGAATTCTGAAGAGCAAATTTTTTTTTTTATCTTATCAGGTGTCATCTAATAGAAAATATAACAAAGGTGCACTCAATTGATAAAAAAAAAATTTGTTAGAGAAAGAGTAACTATATACATATATGTTATATATTTCTTTTATATACTTCACCAATTAAAAATAACTTTGAAACATTTTGGAAAAGTGGGCGTGGCCCGCTCTCTAATAAGGTTAATGTACATATCTCCTAAAYCACCAACATTAGCCAAGCTAAGCTCAAATATTMKAAAAACTTCTACCGACAGTGTGAAAATGGATGAAGTCGGATGATAATCCTGTTTAGTCCTCATGTAATGATACTGTTAAAAACTACTAAAAGCGCGGTAAATCAATAACACTAATGTTAACCTTTTAGATGCAATCACATAGCTCAAGGCMMAACCGATTKCAACCAAATTTGGTACGTGACATTCAACTGACATATAATAMAATGTTAAAATTCATTTGAGACTTTCACTTTCCAGTACACAAACCAAGATTGAATTATTGTATAAGGCCAAAACTTTGAATCAATGGTAAGTTTGAGGTCGGCCACTGTATGAGCAAAAATTTTCCAAGTCGAACCAAAACTGTTCAACMCCCAAGCGCTGAATATGTGGACCAAGTGAATATAGTTGACTTTTTACCAAAAAATATCGGTCAATGTTTGGGATATATAATTGGAATTCAGACAGAACTTCCCTTAGCCCCCATACAACTGATATAAAGATTTTCGGACTTCCGGATGAATTTATACGGATTATATCGGTCAATATATGAGTCCTCTTAATAGAGTTTAGAGAGCGTGTTTTTCTACAGACCTAGAATTTCCCAGAAGGATAGCTGTCAAAGTAAAAAAAACATAAGTGTTTGTTCTCTTTATTTTATTGTACTCTAGCAACAAAAGCAAACACCGGAATAGCATTTGTAAATCAAATAAATTTATTTCTGCTATAAGGGTCACTTCATTAAGTAAAACAKTACGTACGAGGTTTGCTAAAAAAGGATCGCAAACTTTTTATTTCTTAAGAAAGTGCGTATTTATTCATGATTATCTATTTTGTCCCCGTATTTTGTCCAAAGTAAGAATCCCCCAGATATATTATTCAACTGGGTATTTTTTCTATCTCAAAGAATTTAAAAAAAATATGTTTTTTTTGTGATTTTGTTTAGCTCCTCCTTCGATGCAGTTTTTATCGCCTCAATTGTAGCGTAGCGTCGTCCTTTTTGGGAACAAAAAAGTCAAAGGGAGACAGATCTGGGGAATACGGTGACCTTAGCATCATTAATGTGTTGTTTCTGAACAAGTATTCGCGTATAAGCAACGATGAGTGAGCAAGGGCGGTTCTTCGAGGAATCTGGAGTTTCTCGCGAATGCCTTCATTTGAATTGCACATAGCTTACGTAYGACTTAGCTCTTAAGAAAACTTTTAGCAAAACCCATTCTTATTCGTCCTAATTTGTCGCGCTTCTTTCGGTCTTGGCTAATGCGGTAA